TTCTTCCCAAAGAGGCTTTGCAAGTTTTCTCCACTCTACCCTTCCTTGGGAAGAGCAGTGCCTGGTGTGTCCAGTGATGGCCTCTCTTGTGTCTTTGAGACTTATTATCAGAGTTGCCAGGAAGGGTTGGTTAATTCTTTGATTATTTATGGTACATTTTTCTGGCCAGTTTTCTAAGGGCAGGCAGGACATGGGGATCCTGCCTTTTCCTGCAGAAAGCCTATGTATCCTCCAGACACAGGTTCATCTCTCAGCCCTTGAGTCCCCACAAATGAGTCTCCATCAAGGGTAGAGTAACAGTCATTCATTCTCTGCAAGCCTATATTTTCATAGGCTTTAGCAACATTTCTCAAAATGGAGAACTCAATGGATGCCTAAGCTATGCCTCCCTTGGGGATGCTCAGGCCTGGTTAGAGAAACACATTAAGTTAAATTGTTTTCTTTCACTTGGGTTGATCAATCAGCATGAACAACATTGTAAACACAAAGAGGAACTCGTACCCTGAAGGGAGATGGTACTACCTGACTGTAAGGTAGCTTCCCATGACTCAGAAGGTACTGAGGCCGATTGTGATTTTTTTTTTTTAAGTTGTCAGAATGAGACAAAAATTTAAAAATGCCTTTTTAGAACTCATGGAATTTTACCCCCTCCAGACCACACCTGCTTCCCAGGACATTCATGGATTTCCAAATGTTATTTTGAGGAAGAGGAATGTAGAAGAGCCTTTCACCCATCCAGCAAGACCTCCCTCTGCAGCAAGAGCAAGAGATGGCCTGGTTGGGGCTTTGATCCCAGAGCAGGGTCAGACTAAACAAAGGTCACCCACTAGACCACACAGTTCGGAGTTGAGAGGACCTTGGAAACCCTTTCTCCCAAGGCCATCTGATTCATGACTGTCAACATCCCATTCCATTACTAGACACAATTCACAGCTCAGTTGCTCAGTCATGTCTGACTCTTTGCGACCCCATGGACTATAGCATGCCAGGCTTCTCTGTCCATCACCAACTCCAGGAGCTTGCTCAAATTCATGTCTGTTGAGTCGGTGATGCTATCCAACCATCTCATCCTCTGTCATCCCCTTCTCCTGCCTTCAGTCTTTCCCAGCATCAGAGCCTTTTCCAATGAGTTAGTTCTTTGCATCAGGTGGCCAAAGTATTAGAGTTTCAACTTCAGCATCAGTCCTTCCAATGAATATTCAGTACTGATTTCCTTTAGGATGGACTGGATGGATCTCCTTGTAGTCCAAGCTAGACATTTCCTATTAATGCACGGTCTTTGCATCCCAAAGTTGGTCTAGAATTTTTACTAACTGGTTTTGCTCTTGACATCTGGGACCACGTTGATTTTTAAAAGCCCCCAGAATATTGGGGACCAGGGTATATAGGCCTTATTTGAGCTCCTTTGTTAAATAAATGGATGTAAGACGTTCACTGGAGCAGCCAGTGAATGTACTGGTTTGCCCCTGAAAATGCACAGATGGGTGAAATGGGGATTTGGAGAAGAAGCACAGATGGAGAAGTCTTTTCAATTTGATTTGTCACTGAGCAGAGACCTGGAGTTGCTGAGGGTGTCAAGACTCACAGATGCGAACACAGGGAGGAAGAGTGATACAGACACGTGGCAGGCACAGTTGGCAGGGAATGTGCTTCTGTAGGGTTCAGACACACAAAGAAGGATCCAAGCCAGGGTGGGATGGACACTTCAGCACAAGTTCCTGGTGTGCTCCCATGGGAACACAGCTGAGTGCTGTGGGATGGATGAAGACTCAGTGCTGTCTCCAGATGAAAGACTGCTGTTTCCTGTCTCTGCCCTTGATGTGCTGAGCCAGACATTTCTCTCTAAATTTTGCATGGGACTTGATCAAGTGAGTGTTTTAGTACTGTTGCTTCTCTTGAAATCATTTTTCTTGAGGGTACCACCTAAATGTAGATATCATAACTTTGCTTTTGTGGGTTCTCGCTATTGAGAGTTTAGTACAAAGTTCTGAGCACAAGGGCTTCCCTGATAGCTCAGTTGGTAAAGATCCGTCTCCCGTTCAATTCATGGGTTGGGAAGACCCGCTGAAGAAGGGATAGGTTACCGCTCAAGTATTCTTGGACTTCGGTTGTGGCTCAGCTGGTAAAGAATCCCCCTGCAATGTGGGAGACCTGTGTTTGATCCCTGGGTTGGGAAGATCCCCTGGAGGAGGAAAAGGCTATCCACTCTAGTATTCTGGCTTAGAGAATTCCATGGACTATACAGTCCATGCAAAAATTCGGACACGACTGAATGACTTTCACTTTCTGAGCACAAATGTTACATCTGAAGAGTTTTGTTTTTAAAAGCATCTACTGGTCTCTGTCACATTGTTTTCAACCAAAACAGCTTTCTAGGGGCACTAAGTGACATGGTTAGAGTCGTCAGATAAACTAGTAATGAGATTCCTTGACCACTAGATTGTTATGTAAAATATTGGAAATGTGTAGCTTTTTAGTTGGCTGATGAAATTCACTCATCACTTGAATTTACATGCCAGTGGTGTGTTTGAAATGTATACTGGGGACGGAGGGTAGACATTGACTATTTTTAGAGGTGTGGTGGGTTACTTATGCCTGGGTAGCTCAGCTCCCTGTGGCTATTGATAAGATGGATACACACCCCACTGGCCTCGAGGTAGAGTGCCCCTTGCTTGGCTGCCTCAGTGGGGAAGCCGGAGGTGGTAGAATGTTTTGGTCCACACTGCGTTGTGCTTGTGGAGATCTGAGGCTGGTGGCTCAGAACCTGCTCAGCTCCGCTGTGCCTGCACCATGCTGTGATGTGTGGAGAGGGAGAACCTGCAGTTGTCCATGACTGAGGATCCCGCCTTCTTTCCCTGCTGTCTCAGATGGAGAAGAGACAGTTCTACCCATTCCTTTGGCAGGTTGAGCTCTCTGGGTAGGTCCATCTACTTAGCGAAAAAGAACCTGCTTCTAGAACCACCCCATTGTATTAGAATGTGATACTTAATCAGGCGAGTACACCAAGGCAGTCATGGAGGACAATATGTGAAAATTTGGCTTGTGCTTGGCTGCTTGCTGCCTAGTTGGCAGGTGGGCAGGATGGAGCCTGTCACTTGCAGCTTCCATTGTGCTGTGCTTAGTCACTCAGTCGTGTCTGACTCTTTGCGACCCCATGGACTGTAGCCCGCCAAGCTCCTCTGTCCATGGGATTCTCCAGGCAAGGATACTGGAGTGGGTTGCTATGTCCTCCTTCCTGACCCAGGGATCGAACCCAGGTCTCCTGCATTGCAGGTGGATTCTTTACCGACTGAGTCACCAGGGAAGCCCTTCCACTGGCACTGCCTAAATGACCAGTGGCCTCCTCAGCCCAAATGTGCACAGGCCATCACTGTTAAGTCCTTGGGACTATGAAGAGGGGCTGAGCCATGCTTATCAAACAGGAAGACAGGGGCTGACTTACCTATTCCCTATTACCCACTAGACATCTTTCCTATGAACTAATTTTGAGTGCGGGTGGCTGAAGAGCTTAATCGGATGCTTTGTTGTTGATGCAACAATGCTGATGTTGACATGGGAGATGGTTGGCGTTGAATGGCCACAGTAGGTTCAGCTGCCATCTTTTCACACTCGCCCACAAACCATCTCTTGATGCTCCTGCCAGAGAGAGGCCATCGGGCAGGGGCATGAATCATGGGGCTTGAGTTAATGTAGTATTTTTGCATTATCATCAGATACCAGAGAAGCATAACAGGACAGAGGTGATGCTGGATGGGCAAGTCTCTTAAGGTGATATCCTCCAGACAACATTATAAGGCATTAAATACTTTGTGTGAAAGTGAGGCTTTAAGACACAGAGGGAAGGAGGTCGCAATGTCCATAACTAGCTCCCCACTGAGCAGGGGCACAGGTCTCAGCCTATAGCTGCTCCCCCAGGGGAAGTTTGCCTTAGGGTCTGAGTGCAAAGCTCTTACTCTTTATTTTCTCCCTCCTTTCAATCCCATAATTCTTAATACCATATCTAACTCAAGGGATTTGATTTTTGAATCACAACTCAAAAACCTCTTGTTTGAAGGATAATTCCAATTTATTAACAAACCAGAATAAACAGCACAAAATGACTGTGAAAGACCAAGAAAGACAGACAGGGGTTCATTCAGCCCAACTCTCCTGTGCATGCTGGGATAAACCTTCCCTGTGCCTCTTGGATGGTGCCCCTTAGATGGGGAAGGCCTGTCCTGCAGGAGCAGGGTGAGCACAGTTCCTCTCTGCTTCTGCCTCCTGTGTAGGAAACTCTCTCTACTCCCCCACTCCCCAGAAAGTTCCCCTCTGCAGGACCATAAACCTGCACATCTAAGACTTGAAAACCATTTTTCCACTTTGCTGCTATACTTTTTCACACCTTTGGATTAATTTTTATGAATTAAATTGTGTGTTTGAAACAGCACATCTCGACACAGATTGCAAAACCAGCCTGTTAGAAACTATTGTTCTTTTCTCCACTGCCTGATAGTCTAGACCCAGGTTGATCCCCACAACATGCCAAAGAGAAACTAGTAAGACCTCATATTAGAGTTATTAAAAGCATGAACATAGTCTCATTTGATCCTCACAGCAACCCCGGGAGGTAGGCAGGTGGGCACAATGGTTCCAGGATCCAGAGAACAAAGTCATAACTGATGGAGTTGGGAACCAAATCTATGTACTCTGACCCCTGGTCCAGGGCTCCTTCCACTCCACAAGGTGAACTGGGCTCACCCTGGTGAGCAGGGCGGTTTTTCTGCTCAGGAGAGGTGAGATGTCCTTTGGGCTTGCAAACAGAGGAGATTTTAAGTACATACCTCAGCAGATAGCTCAGAGGGTAAACACACCTGAGCTCAATCTAGCATCAACATCAGAGGGATGAACAAGACAGACATAGGCATCTTTGACAAGGGTCTCTTCTTGTTTCCTGATTCTCATGTGGAACACACTGGGTGCTGTAACATGAATGCAGCGAAGTCCAGGTGGAGGGAAGGCATTCAGAGGACTTTTTCATCTATCAGTTTATTGATTCCCTCACAAATCTTCTTGAGGTTGGGCCTACAGTCTCCATCAAGGCTATACAGGGTGGAAAGGAACTCCACATTGGCAAAGTGGTTGAAGACATGATTGATGCGTCCGTGGGTCCTGGGTGTCAGGTGTCGCTGCACCAGTTCATGCACCAGGTCCTTGCACTCGTGTAGGAGCTTGGAGAGCACGTTTCGATCGAAGGTGTATTCCACCTCATAGAAACTGACGATGGTCATGGCGGTCTGGTTCAGCTTCTTCCTAAACTTCTCCACTATAACAACTTCCTCTGGGCTGAACTGGTTGTTCCGGTAGAGGATCCCGATTTTGATTGCCACCTTGATTAAGTCTTTCATGATCTTGTGGGCTTCCTTCTTGTTATGTATGTGCTCTTTGGTGACTTTGTAGAGCTCATCGAAGATCTCGCTGCTGGTATCATCAATCAGCATGTTGGCCACAGTTTTGCTGGCTATTTTGCTCAGAATCTTCTTCTGGGCTTGAAGGGCAAGGTTCTTTGAACTAAAAACATCAGGACCTATGGTAAGAAAAGAAATAAAAGTTATATAAATAGGAGAACCTTTGATTAAGTTTCTAGAAGTGAAATATGATAACTTGAACTTATGTTCTTAGAGCAAAAATTCATGCCTTCATAACCCAGACTCTTTTATGAAACCCCACCCTAGCCTGGTTACTCCACTATCCTTAACACATGATATGCCTGTTTACCTTCTTGAACCTTTTAAATCGTGCTTTATTCCTTTCTGGACATGGTCTTCTCGTATCCAGGCCAGATCTCATCCTTTTGACCTACTTTATGCAGAAAGCCTCCTTGAATCTATTTGCTCATGGAGAATTCCCTACAATAATTATTGTATTGGAAACCATTCAGTTTTGCAAATTTACAGGAGGAAATTATTGCTTAGTGATAAGAATGTAGCACCAGTGCCAACCCCATTCCTAGGACAGACCTGGGTGGTTAATCATGGGAGTGTTTTTCGACTGAGTCTTAGAATCCGTATTCATTGAGTCTAAGATGTATTTTTTTCACATTTGATATCTTGGAAGTAGTGATCTGTCTTATAGTCACTGTTGCCAGGTGGTAGTTGTGCTGTGGTTGCATTACCTGTGTGTGCATCAATTTAGACAATAGGAGACAGAGATTTGAAATAAAAGTCATGAGTACTCTTGAAAGAAATGTTGCCTCACCAATGCTCTTGATGACAGAGAACTACACTGTGTGGGAAACACAGACATCAATGCTCCGAGCAAAGATGCTTCAGCCAAATAGTACCCTGAATATGAGGAAACTTAGAAAAACCAAACCCAGTTTATTTCCCATACTTTCCACTTTATAAACGAATGAGAACAATATATGTTAAAGGAAATAACACGATGTATGTGTGAAGTCTCTCAGTCATGTCCGACTCTTTGTGATCCCGTGGACTGTAGCCCATCAGGTTCCTCTGTCCATGGGATTCTCCAGGCTAGAATACTGGAGTGGGATGCCATTTCCTTCTCCAGGGGATCTTCCCGACCCAGGGATCAAACCCAGGTCTCCCACATTGCAGGCAGACGCTTTAACCGCTGAGCCACCAGGGAAGCTTAACACTATGTATAACTAAGTCTAAAAAGAATCTTCTAATAAGAAATTGGACACAAAACTGTAAGCTGTAAGAAAGCAATCATTTGTAATTTAATTGGAAATATTTTCTTCTTTCTTAACAGCATATAAAATGGCCTCTTATAATTGATGGGGTCTTAGATTGGATGGAATACTCCATGAAGTTACCAGTTAGTTGAAACTGGTATATGAAATGAAACCCATTGGCCATCTTCATTCAACAGTATGTATGTGTATCATTCTTATCTTCCCAAGGAGAGTCAAGTTGCCTAAGGACAGAGACAGCATCTCCCACAGCACCTAGCTCAGTCCTGGGCACAGGGATGGAATGGCATTTGTTAAGTTAAATGCTAGAGAAATTCTGCTGAATAAATTTCCCTTTGAGAACTGAGGGCCTTCTATGATCCCAAGAGTTCTTTTCCAGCACTCTATGGCTACATGGAAGTGACAGGCAGCATGGACAGACAGATGGCCACACACACCAGCTTTTGCAATCCTCTCTGGCCCCTCCCCATCTCAATCCTACCCTCTCTGCTCACCCTGATTCATCCCCTCAATGGAATGCCATTAATCCCTGGGTGCGTAAGTCTCACAAACATGGACTCAGTAAATAGTCAGACACAATTCAGACACAGGCCCCAGCTCTTCCTCCACCCATATGCCCCTTCATGGACTGGCTCCTTCCCTCCCAGCTCAGCCCTGGGTCTTCCCAGGACAGCTACTCCTGCTCACGGACCTCTTCCAGCTTTCAGCCCCAGGGGCATGGCCTGGAGTGGGGTCACTAAAGTGGGATCAGTAGAACTAAAGAAGCAGGGACCATGGGTCTCCCACGGCCCCAGGAGGCTCTCCTGAATGTCTGAGAACATAGATTCTTCAAGTAACTTCAGAGCAAGTGACCCTGACACAGCCGGGATTTTCCCTTCAGCCTCAGTGTGAAGGGAAGAAACATCGATTTTTGACTTTTCCTTACTCTGAGATTAATGCCCTTCCAGAGCTAGAGACAAAGAATATTCCTGCCCAGTCTGATCATCTACCATGGTCATCAGACCTTTGTGTAGATAACCTTTGTCCCCAAAACATCACATTCCTCCTCCCCATACAAATATTTACCAGCATTAAGGATGTTTAAAAGATTGTGCTGCATGCTTTGAAGTCAATTCCACAGGAGAAACTTAAAGACTTTTAAGCTTTGGCTCTGTCACCAAAATAAGTGTATGCCTCCTTAGGTGGATATTCTGTTGGGAAACAATGGAATCCAGATGGATCTGTTCTGGAATATCAAAAAACGATTCATTTCTTTGTAGACACAGTTCCCCAAAATCGAGAAGATATTTTTTGAAGAAGCACTCTAGAAATACAGCACAGAAGCAACTGACCAACTATGTGTCTGATGGAATATAAGCTCTATGGGAGCAGGGGTTTGTGTCCAAGCCCCACTGGACTCAGTGGGCCCCCTGGACCCAGGTGGCCCTTGGCAGCTATTGTTGAATGAGGGAACACTGGCTCTGAGTCAGGCACTTCGTGGCTTTATCCCTGAGAGCTGCGGGAAGCTGATGTTTTTACCAAGGCTTTCTTGCTAGCCAGATTCCAAACCCTGTTCTTTTTACCACTAGCATTCTTAATAGTTTTTCCCAGAGCAGGGGTCATCACACCTTTTGTTCTTATATCCCCATAAGAATTTTGAAAAGCGAGTACCTCCTTGCATATTTTTTAACTTGACAGCGAGTTATTTTTCACCTTATGGTTAAACAGTTATAATTTCAAAATATATTACATGTCTAGATATTTTAAATATTGATACTTTAAAAATCAATGTGTTAACTTATTCTTTTAAAAGTGTCCAGTGTACACAGGACACACCACAGTGATATAACATCCATTATTGTCCATTTGAAAATGACAGGAGCAAGCTCTCCTTTAAAAATGAGAGCTGCAACATTGTTCTTTTTTCTACTTAAAATTGTGTATCTATGACATCTAAAGAACTTTAACTTAGTATCTGTTTTTATGCTTGAAAATATTTTATTTGATCAAGACATCATAATTCTCTATAACCAAAGGATACATAAAAATTGAAATTTAAATTAAAAGATAATTCTAGTGATCAAAATCTCCAATCCTTAAAAAAATTCCTTAAAAAGTTATCATTCTAATTATTTTGGATAGAAGTATTAAGCTGTTATAAATACTAAACATAGAAAATAATTTTATTGGACATGTACCTCCAAGTGAGATCAGTAGAGGCACGTCATCACTTTGTTTGACCAGGTTTTGCACCCCAGTGCAAATATATAGATATTTGTTCCAATAAGATTCTTTATGGGTGGGAACTCCATGATGGAACCAGTGGAAATAAGGAAGGATCACTGCACTTTGACCTCAGATTGTTGTTCTGACAGTTGAATTTAGAAGAGTATTGAAGTGAGAAAGAGGAGTTGGACTTAGATATCGATTCCCTCAAAACTCTCCTCATCTGCTCATCGCATGGCAAGTTTCTGGACTCACCATGGTGCATACACCAATTTGAATCCTGCTCTTTTGTAAGAGCAGTGTTGTTCCATGAGATGTTAAGTGCTGTTCTTTTCAGAGGAATAACGAGTTTCTTTTCTTTTTTTTTTAAAGTTTTACTCCATAATTATAAAATATTGGTTAAATTTCCTGTGTTGTACAATATATCCTTGTAGCTTATTTTATACATAATAGTCTATACCTGTTAATCCCCCACCCCTATTTTGTCCCTCCTCTTTCCCTCTCCAGAGGAAAGGTTGCTATGGTAACTGATTGTTTGTTCTCTATATCTGTGAGTCTGCTTCTTTTTTGTTATATTCACTAGTTTGTTGTATTTTTTAGATTCCATGTATAATGGGTATCATACAGTATTTGTCTTTCTCTGACTTATTTTACTTAGCATAATACTCCCTGAATAAAGAATTTCTTGATCAAAAAGGTTTGGAAAACACTAGGTTAAGCAATATTAAACAGATTTCTTTCCTATGAGACTTTAAAAATATTTCTTTAATATATTAAGGTGTTTTATCAGCTGTCAGAGATGGGTGGGTATAATTGGTAGAATAATGATCCCCAAAATGTCCACATCCTAGTCTTGGAATCTGTGCATGTACTACCTTACCTGGTAAAATAGACTTCTTAGATATGACTAAGTTAAGAATTTGGAGATGGAGAAATTACCCTGGATTAGCCAGTAAGCCTGATGAAATTACAAGACTCTTTATAAGTGAAAGAGGGAGAGAGAGTCAGAAAAAAGACTTGATGATGGGGGCAGAGGATCAAAGGGATGTAATGTCTGGCTTCAAAGATGGGAGAGAGAACTGCATCAGTCAAGGAACACAGCCGGCCTCTAGAAGTTCAAACGGGCAAGGGAACAGATTACCCCCTAGAGCCTTCAGAAAAAATGCAGCCCTGCTGACACATTGGTTTTCAGACCTATAAAACTGATTGAGGATGTCTGATCTCCAAAGCTGTGTTACGATAAATTTATATAGTCTTAAATCCTAAAGGAGATCAGTCCTGGGTGTTCATTGGTAGGACTGATGCTGAAGCTGAAACTACAATACTTTGGCCACCTCATGTGAAGAGTTGACTCATTGGAAAAGACCCTGATGCTGGGAGGGATTGGGGACAGGAGGAGAAGGGGATGACAGAGGATGAGATGGCTGGATGGCATCACCGACTCGATGGGCATGAGTTTGAGTAAACTCTGGGAGTTGGTGATGGACAGGGAGGCCTGGCGTGCTGCGATTCATGGGGTCATAAGGAGTCGGACAGGACTGAGCAACTGAACTGAACTGAAATCGTTAAGTTTGTGGTAATTTGTTATAGCAGCTGTAGGAAACTAATTCAGGTGAGTAGAGTGTGGAAATGTTCTTGCTGTTTAGTCACTAAGTTCTATCACT